TATTAACACCTCAAAAATTATTTTGGCAATATTGGAGTTGATTTAAAGCAATGTTTTGCAATTACTATAGCATGGACTGGGCATCAAATCTGTGTGGAGCTCATCATTCACTTTACACCTTAATGAAGAAGGATATTGCTAATATGTTTCTTATCAAGTGCACATGTCATTCCTTTGCACTTGGCCAGTTCTCATGCATGTGACGAATTGCCTTCCAACATCGACTACATAATAAGAGAAAGCTACAGCTGGTTCCACAGATCTTCATTATGAAGAGAAAGTTACTGTATCTAGAAATTTACAGATTGATAAATGATGGGAAAGATCCCTCACAGTTAATACCTCATCTTGTATGTGTGTATGTACTTATACCTGAATAAACATTTAATTTTATTTGATTTGACTAAATAAAAAATTGGGCTACTCTTATTGCAATTTCGCTACTTTTAGACTGTCAGCTCGCTACTTTTAGCAATTTGGATCTGGCAACCGAGCTACGAAGACACGAAGCCTCACAGAGCAGGCAACCATGAGGGAACGCATGCAGGATTAAAAGTATTCTTGAAATCATCAACAATTAAACAATGTTTACAGAATACGACTTGCGGGAACATGTTGGACTGTTAGGTGTCTCATGTCATTTAGTAAGAAAAGGGTAAGGATAGAATGTTGTGTTTGTAATAAGAGAGTTTATTTGACCTGTTCAGCCATAGGACTAGCGTCACTGATAACCTAAGTGCAGGAACCTAATGAAACATAGAAGAGACTTACCTGATGTATGTTAACTGGCTTTTGCAGAGCAATGGAACCTAATGAAACATAGAAGAAACATACCTGATGTATGTAAACTGGCTTTTGCAGAGCAATGGAACCTAATGAAACATAGAAGAGACTTACCTGATGTATGTTAACTGGCTTTTGCAGAGCAATGGAACCTAATGAAACATAGAAGAAACATACCTGATGTATGTAAACTGGCTTTTGCAGAGCAATGGAAGCTACTGGGATCAAATATATTCTAACACATCAAACGGCAGGAACCAGAATTTCTCTAAGCAACAATGGTAGAGATTAGAATCCAAACCTAGAAACAAAACATCGTCAGACAAAATAACGTTAATCCTGAGAGATTAAAGGATAATATTAAGAAAGAATCACAGTGGGTAATGGACAGAAATATATAAAGTTTACAGAGGAAAATGCAGATCAAGTTGCAAATACCAGCTTCGAAATGTATAGTAACAAAATCATTTCAATTGCAAAAAAATTAAATACTATGCAAAGGGAATATACAGATACAGTATTAAACAAAATACACCCCCCCCCCAAAAAAAAAAAAGAATGTAGTATGCTAACAAAGGGAACATAATGCATTTAAACAAATTGGAGATTTTACCTCTAACTTGTGCAAGCTGTCAGTTGACAATAAATGTTTTGAGCTCACTTGGCCAGAGTTCCATGTGAGAGATGCAGAGCATTAGAGATGGGAAGACCGCCAATCTGAATCTTCTGAACTTTGTTTATATGCTGACATATGCATATTAGAAGAGATAAGAGATGGGAGCCCTTAGACAGCAATATGTCTACAGTATGGGAAGGATTGGTGAAGAAAAATAGTGCACAAAGTGGTATTCGAAGCCAGTTACCTTGCGATGATTTCGGGGCTCAATGTCCTTGCGGCCCAGTCCTCGATCAGGTCTCCTCATTGATGGACTGGTTAACCAGGCTGTTGGACGCGGCTGCTCGCAGCCTGATGTATGAATCACAGCCTAGTTGATCAGGTAGCCTTTGGAGGTGCTTATCGAGTTTTCTCTTGAACACTGTGAGGGGTCGGCCAGTTATGCCCCCTTATGTGTAGTGGAAGCGTGTTGAACAGTCTCGGGCCTCTGATGTAGATTAGAGTTCTCTTTCAGAGTACCTATTGCACCTCTGCTTTTCAACGGGAGTATTCTGCCTATCCAGCCATGCTTTCTGGTCTCATGTGGTATTATTTCTGTGTGCAGGTCTGAGACCAGTCCTCTAATATTTTCCACTTGTAAATTATTTTGTATCTCTCCCGCCTGTGCTCAAAAGAATATAGATTTAGGCATTTTAGTTGGTCCCAAGAGTTTAGATGTTTTACCAAGTGGATTCTATCAGTAAATGATCTCTGCATGCTCTCCAGGTTAGCAATTTATCCAGCTTTGAAAGGGGCTGTCATTGTGCAAGCAACAGTATTCCACTCTAGAGAGCAGTTGCATCTTGAAAAGTATCATCATCAGTATAGCATCTCTAGTTTGAAAAGTTCTTGTTATCCAACCTGTCATTTTTCTTGCAGATGTGATGGCTACTTTATTGTGGTTTTTAAAGGTTAGGTGTTCCAACATGGGTACACCCAAATCCTTTACATTTTTTTTTCTATGTTTAATGATTTGACTGCATTTTGTACAGTACTTGGTTTCCGTTTATATAGGTATTTTAATTTTTTATGTAGCACAGGAGCTGGTGGAACTTATCTTCATTAAATATCATATTATTTTCTGTAGCCCATCAAAAGACCTGATTCACATCTGATTGGAGGTTTGCTGTGTCTTCTATGTTGTCTACTCCCATAAAAATCTCAGTGTCATCTATGAAGGATGATACAGTACTATAGATTGTGTTTTGTCTATGTCCGATATGAGGATGAGAAAAAGTACTGGAGCAAGCACAGTACCCTGAGGTGTTTTATTTTGTAGACTATTACACATTGGGTACTGTTAGTCAGGAAATTGTAGATCCATCTGCATATTTTTCCGGTAATTCCTTTTGAACACATTTTGTGTGCAATAACACTATGGTAACATTTGTCAAAGGCTTTTGTGAAATCTGTGTAACTTATATCAGCATTTTGGTTGTCTTCCGTGGCATCTAAGGCCATGTCATAGTGGTCCGTCCAGCAACTATGATAGGCAAGAGTGCCCTGTTCTGAAACGTTATCAGGGGTTATGGAGATGCTGTGATTCCATGTATTTTGTGATCTTACTTCTTTTCAAAGATTTTTTTATGATGTGTGATGTTAGTGCTATCGGTCCATAATTTTTTGCCTCTGCTTAATTTCCTCTTTTTTGGAGTGGTGCTATCTCTGCTGTTTTTAGTATGTCAGGGATAACGCCAGTACCTAGGCTCTGTCTTCAAAGAATGTGAGGGGCCTGCGATAGTGTTTTTTTACAATTCTTGATGAATGTTAAGTTCCAAGAATTAGGGCCTAGTGCAGAGTGAACAGTCATACTGTCTATGCACTACCACATTCAGAACTACATACAGAAACTACCACAACCACCAACAACAGTGCAGCTACCAATATTGGATGAATCAATTACAATATCATTGCACACCCTGGATCATAATGGAGATGGAGTTGACTTATCAAAACCTCCCAGATATGACTCCCAAAATTGAAATGCCTTTATATTTGCCAACATACAAGGACTAAAGTCAACTAAGACGAATAAAGTTCCAATCTTAAATGGCCTCCGAATACACTATTCACAGAAACTCAAATTAGAAATTCTATGGATATGGAAGCCTGGCTACCAAAATTTAAATAATATATATGAAATAGAGTAATCGGGTGTAATAAAGTACTAGGTCCGTATATTAAGGAGGAACTTGTATGCACAAAGCTCCTAAATTTCACAAATGAAGTTATGAAGGTATGTTAGGTAGCTTTTACAGTCTTTGTTTTTTAATATGTTAAAGTGTCTTGGATGGAATTTGTTGGGCCTCTTCAGTCCTTCCTCATAAACAAAGGCCGAAGTTCATTCCATGCACCCCGCCAAACTCTGTTTATGAATGAAAAGCGGTTTACGCATGACTCAAAACCAATTACATTCGAACACTTCTCGAACAAGTGCTTTGCTGATGACTCTTGTTCAAACCACAATGCTGTAAATGCTTCACCCATATACTACAAATACAAATAATTGCCAACAGAACCTAAACACCTATCCCAACCAATACATAAATATGCACAGTATGCTAATATACAACAATATTAATTCATATTTGAGAAAATTCCTATTTTGAATGAATAACATGTTAAAATTGACAAAAGCATCTTTGGGGTTGACTGCTTGATGGAATGGACTTGGTCTGAAGACGGGTTGGCCTCTTGCCTGAGCCAATCCACACACACTGTGAACTTTACACCTCTGACTCCTCTGCTACTCTACTCGGTTCTTAAACATGTGTCAGGATACTCACCTGCAGTTCTCTGCAGGAACATGAATTTAGTATTGGCTATGTTAACTATCCTGTTATTGCCTAGGGCTCATAAATATGTTAATGGACAGTTGTGTATTACCAGACAGATGTGGCATTTTCCTAATGAGGGTTGCCGTCTTGTACGACTACCTTACCAAATTCTTGCAGTTTTAGTGACAGTCTTTGATATCTGATGCTGAATATAACTGAGCTAAGGACTGAATAGAACTACTGCTCATTAAAGCAGGTATTTGTCAGTCATCAGTATCATCACTTTAGAGGTCTGCCACCTCTATTATAGTAATGTGTTCATATAAATTAATGAAACATGGATTTTTGCCAAATATCAATGAATATTTTGGCAGTGCACAACTTGTCCTCATGTGCTAATATAGTCTGTTATTTCATATTTTAAAACAATTATATATGGCTGGATCTTTGTGTCATTTTGGAGATAAGTTTAAAGGATATGTCAGCAAGAAGTGTAGTAATTGCTCTTGTCTAATTTTTCAAAGAACTTTTTTACAAATACAGTGTCAATGACCTGTAATTTTTTATATATAATAAGAAGTTTAAATTTACCAATCTAAACTTAAGTAATGTTAGAAACCTCTGTTTCCGAAGACACCTTCATGTAAGATTCTCACTGTTAACTTGACATCAATTACAAACTTTGGATTTGAGTCATCTTTGAGTAAAGTTTCAGTGATATCCATCTCCCAGTGAAAACTGTGAAAGCTTACTAATTTCATGTTTCACTTCTGCTTATGTTGCAGGAGTTATGGACAATGAGAAATCGCTTGTCACTGGTAAGACATGTGCGATAGGTGTGAAGTAGTGTCAGGTTATGTGAGCTATCAATGATAACTGGCATGGTGAGCAGACTGGTTGTTGTGTATGTGTAAACTGAACACCCTCCCACCATGACTTATTATGCCACATGTACTCATATGCACCTATAAATATATAAATATACTGTATATATAATATATATATAGTATAATAATATATATATATATATATATATATATATATATATATATATATATATATATATATATATATATATATATATACACACACATATATATATACACACATATATATGTTGAATATGACCGAAAAGGTAAGATTAATCATTCTAACACGAATCTTCTCAATATTTCTTATGTTTTTCTTCACTGTCGATGGTAATAAAAATAACAATTCTCCAAAATTCATTTTTTAATTGTCTGACGCCTAAACGCGTTTCGTAATTCGTATTACATTTTCAAAGACTTAATTTGCACACAAATTCTTTGTACTTTATTGGATGAGATGATATGGTACAAAAGTTTTGGGTGAGGTGACAATCACAAGACAGAACACGAAACAGCGTTCTGCAGACACCAAGCAGAACGCTTTGAAGGAGACCAACATCGTCTATGCCTTTAAATACCCACTTGGGGACTGTAAGCCCCAAAGAACTCGGTATATAGGCAAGACAACAACTCTTTCTAGGCGACTAATAATGCACAAGCAACAGGGAGCCATCAAGGAAGACATAATCTCTTCCCACAACCAGACCATCACCAGAGAAATCTTAACAAACAACACAGAAATCATCGATAGGTACGGCGATAGCAGGCAGCTTGACATCAGCGAGGCACTACACATCAAAAAGTCAACACCAGCAATCAACAGCCAATTAATGTACAACTATATTCTACCTACTTCAAGACCCCGAACCAATATGGAAGCAGCAAGAGCCAATAGACCTTCTGCAGTTACTTCCATTCATATGTTCACTTATCCAATTTATACCCATTGTTTCGTGTTCTGTCTTGTAACATCGTCAGAAAGTTAACCGGCTCCGATTTTTTATCCTGCTAAACCAGCTTTTATCCGGCTCCCATGGCCATTTTGGCCAGATATGGAGATAACTTTATCTGGTCACAATTTTGGCCGTATAAGGGCGTTTTCCGGATGTTCGAATCCCAGATAATCGAGTGGTTACAGTACTTGTATGACATTTTATAATGTAAATATAATAAGGAGCCGGTCGTCTGAGCGGACAGCATGTTGGACTTGTGATCCTGTGGTCCCGGGTTCGATCCCAGGCGCCGGCGAGAAACAATGGGCAGAGTTTCTTTCACCTTGATGCCCCTGTTACCTAGCAGTTAAATAGGTACCTGGGTGTTAGTCAGCTGTCACGGGCTGCTTCCTAGGGGTGGAGGCTTGGTCGAGGACCGGGCCGCGGGACACTAAAGCCCCGAAATCATCTCAAGATAACCTCAAGATAATACTGCACATGTAATTATAAATGTTTTGTTTTACTGTTTTCATGTTTACTTTACCTTATGAAGAGTCGTTGCTGGCTTGAGGGAGACGATGGGGAGGTGGGAAGGAGAAGAGGGGTTATGGTGTCGAAGGAGAATCCACCTCTGAGTCAGACGGCCTCTTTCTTCTTGGGAATTTCACCCCACTGGGACCGGGTTGTGGTTCACTATCACTGGCTGGTCTTTACTTTGCAAAGAACGAGTCTATTGACAATTGCTTTTGTCTATGTTTTAGGATGTCCCTAAAACGAGACAGCAAATTGTCATTAACCCTTAAATTGCGCATTGCATCATATGATGCTTTGGAGTACTACGCAAGATTTAAACAGCCCGCGGATACACAGGGTTCACCACACCTTCATCAGGGCTCTTGTAAATAGATGCCATTTTTTTTTAAAATTATGAGCCAAATTTCCGGGTGTTAGGAGCCTCAGTATTGAGTGAGCTACCAAGCCTGACGCACGCAGCATGAGCTCACAGCACTGCTATTCAGCTTGTGACCACAGCATCACCTAAAAATGCCATAATATACTTGTTCATGCTATTATGTAGTGATGATATTATTACATAAGACCCCTGACTGTGATACAACTGACCAGAGTTCTGATAATAGCAGGATTGTGGTGATATTTAGCGCTGTGCTCCATGGAGGGAGGAGTAATGCTGTGGGAGGGGAGGGTAGTGGTGTTGTCTTTTCACTGTGTGTGGCCACCTTTTATTGACTTCACTCACCATACCAGCTTAGTGGTTCGCTATGGTGAACACAAATGTAGATACTTATATATAACGTGTGTATAGAGGGTATAAACAGCAAGAGGAGTAGGTTGGGAGCCGCCATTTTGGTGAGGGCGATGGCGTCGTCTGCACGACTTATGTTGTTTACTGGTGACCACGATGGTCTTTGGGCACCATACCAGTTTACTTGTACAAGTATGGTGAATAAAACAGGTAGATATTTATATATAATGTGTGTATATAGCATAATAACACCACAAACAGTATTGTTGGAGGAGAAATATTAGTGCGTCTGGCCTTGAGGGCGGCAGCCAGCTGACTGTGTGAGTAGCTACGTCTTTGTACCTTTACTCACCATACAAGCTTAGATGTACAGTTATGGTGAACAAAACATTTAAATACTTATATATAATGTCTGTATATAAAAGCAAAAACAGTATGGTGGGAGGAGAATGTGGGCGAGTGAGGTGTTGAAGGAAGGAGGGAGTGAGTGGCTGGCTGGGTTGTGGCGGTCACTCCTCGTTACTTTTTGACTCATATTAGCAACTTAGTGGTTCATTATGGTGAACAAAACATGCAGATACTTATATATAACCTGTGTATATAGTGTAATAACCGACAAAGTATTTGTTCACTGATGAACATAATTGAATTAACAATATGCACACCATATTTTTGAGTACAGCGATGATTCACTCATCTTATTATATAAATATATCACACTACACACTATTGAATAATATTACAGCAAAAAAACTATGAAAAATCAATCAGAGACATTGAAATAATTAGGTAATTATCTCTTTGTGGCAACTCCGGCCTGACAGTTGGCGAGCAACAGACCGCCTGGGACGCACGCTGAGTCAGCGCCTGTTTTTTGCCAGACTTCCCCGCTCTATAGCGGGCAAAATATGCCACTTACGATTTTTTTTATTATTTTTCTCATGATCAGTGAACACAAATTAACAGGTTAGGAAGAAAAGATTTTTTTTTTTTTTTTTGTATGCACCTGTGGGTGTCAAATGGTATATAGCCATGCGCCATTTAAGGGTTAAACATGTTCACACACCAGGTTGTCACTGCTTTATCAGGGTGATGCTTTTCCAATAATGCAGTCACCTTTTCAAACATTCCCAACACTTCCCTGATCTCACTAGAAGAGGCAGCATCCTCCCTTACCTCCTCATCCCTTTACTAATGGGACAAATTGTTGATGAGGACATGCCATACTCCCTTGTGAGATCAGTCACACGGACACCACGCTCATGCTTTGCTATAATTTTCTTCTTCAAATCCACAGTAATTGTCTCTTTCTTCCTCTTGAAAACACTATCTTTAGCAAGCAGCTACTTTGGCGACATCGTGCTTCACAAATTGTAGTCACAAAACCACAAAAAAAAAAAAACACAAATAAATGCAGAGGGATGCTTGTCGTGCGTGATACAACAACAATAATGGCGTCGGATGCGTCCGAGAATTTGCGAGAACCAGCAAGACGCTAGGAAGCACCATGCATGTGGTTTTGCTCATTAATAGAGGTGAAGCTCTTCAATAGAGACAAATTTGCTGCGAGTGGCTCGCTCGTTACTCGAAATGCTTGTAGATAGAGCTGCTCGTTAATCGAGGTGCTACTGTATATATATAGTGTATGTGCAGGACTATTTTAAATATGCAGATCATATATGTATGCCAAGCGCATGGTGGGACATGTCACTCCTTTAAAATAAATATATATATATATATATATATATATATATATATATATATATATATATATATATATATATATATATATATATATATATATATATATATATAATATAATGCCATGCACAGTTTAAGGGTTAAGAGACCTCCTTGCACTTTCTTCCCATGGACCAAGGGGTCTCGGATCCTATTGGAATGAAGTTGTGCCATTGATCTATTTCCCTGTACTTGGTTGACTTGTATAGTTCTCTGTGTGTCGCCGCAGCTCCCGCTTGGTCGACAGAGAGGGTGATGTATGTATGTGGCTGCCAGGGTGGATACGCAAGTTTAGTCCCATGCCAATTGTCTGCCATTTTTTCCAAGGGCGCAGTGTGATTCCATCTGGTCGGCCAACAAAACTAACAGTTATGGTTCAAAAGATTGCAAGGCTCTCTCTCTCTGCTGGACACTGGGCAGAGGCAAGGCTCCTCTTAATGATGTCATTGACTTTGTCGTGTCGTAAGTGCCAAGCGCCTGATTTTCCACAGTGCAGGCCATGCATTCCATATTTGTCCGCATCTGCCTTGCCACAAATGCACCTATGAACAGTGTGGATAGGGGCAGCAAGGAGGAAAGTGACTGCATTACGGAGCTGCTGCGAATCAAGAGGAGGTGTGCCTGTCGCAGATATAGGGACTGCCAAATGGAAAAATATATATATATATATATATATATATATATATATATATATATATATATATATATATATATATATATATATATATATATATATATATATGCATAATATATATGCATAATATATATATGCATAATATATATATGCATAATATATATATGCATAATAAAGCACTATATATATATATATATATATATATATATATATATATATATATATATATATATATATATATATATATATATATATATATTATATATATATATATATATATATGTATGTTGTCAAATATGACAAAAAGTAAGATTAATAATTCTATCATGAATTTTCTCAATATTTCTTCTGTTTCTTTTTACTGTCGATGGTAATTGAA